AATCATTTGAGTTGTATCTATTGGGAGAGAGAGAGAGAGAGAGAGAGAGAGAGAGAGAGAATCATTTTGTTATATAATTATAACTATTTTATATCTGACAAAACATGTCTTTGTATACTAAGGCTTTCGATATTATTATTAAATATTTGAAATTTTTTGCAAAAAAATAATTAGATTTGAAAATTGCATTCAAATCCCATTAGTAATCAATATATATCTGTATTTATTTCCTAACTATTATTTATTGTTTTATTTAGATATTTAATAAACGATTAGATTTTTAAACTTATAGACTGACCCAGAATACTATTTTTCAATAGATAATTTTTAGCATTTATTATCCTTATCATTTTGGTTTACACATACCCTTGTATTCATACATTATATTAATATCAATTTATTTAATTAAGATATTAATTATAATTTATACAAAAAGGCAAAGTTTTTAGTTATCATTTTGAATTAATAAACGATTGGTTATTTTGTTTGTGTTTTTAATATAAAATGATTGTGTAAACGGAAATGATTGGCAGATCTGATATATTTTACAACAATCAAAATGTGCTCAAAGTATTCAACATTGAATTAATTAAAATCACGGTTTAATCAGGAATAATATTATAAAGCAAATAAAATTATGAATTTTCACACACATATCTAATGTGTTTTAGTTGTAAACAAAATGCACAATAAGAATAGAGATTAGTTATCAGATTTTATAAATTAAAAACACTTTAACCAAGAGTTAAATTCTATGATGTAATACATATTGAGGTAAAGATATTAATTATAATTAAGTAAAACATGGGAACAGGAAGTGTTGCCAATTATCGCAACCGATAATGATGTCCACAATATTAAAGATCATTTAAATTAAACACACATTTACTGTACATTTGTTTTTGGCAATAAATGATATTTAAAAACTAGTTTATAATTCAATTAAAGCCTCGATTCCTATAAGAATAAAATAACTATAATGTAAAAAATAAATTTTATTTGTTTTAAACAAAACATGCTTTACATTTATATCAAACTTTTATACACTTTATGTATTAGTATTTAATATTTGGTTTACATCTATAATCGCTATTTATTTAATGAAAATGTCATGACTTTTACTATTAAATGATAATTAAGAAAAAATATTAAATAAGGTATTTGTAAAGAAATATTTGATTTTAATAGAAAAAATGTAGATTAAGTGCAAAC